GAGAGGAGAGAGAGAGACGAAATTGTATTGGCAGGAGCGTGTTAGTTGCTTCAATCAAATCGCTTTTTAGGAACGTGAACCGTATTGTTACTTCAAATTGTTTTAGTTGTTGTTGTTCATTTATTATCATTATTCATTTGAAATTCAATGCAGGCAATGCGCTCAAGTGAAGATTCTATAAAGCCGATCTTCATATCAATAGGTCACCGCATATCCCTTGAAACAGCCACTAAAGTTGTTAAAATGTGCTGTAAATATCGCATTCCGGAGCCCATTCGCCAAGTAAGATCGTTGCATTCCCTCCTTCTATGCTCATTTTTATGTAATCTAATTTAGCCTCATATATATGCGCCCGTCCCATAATTGTCTATATTGTTTAAATATAAAACCGTAGTTAAGCTCCTCTGTTGAATGTCCATCAAGCATTCTTGACCACTGGATGTGGATTTTATGCACATACGGACGAGCCATGCATTCGAGCATATGCGTATACAGAGATGTTTCAAATTAGGATACGAGAATGGGCTTGATCGGTAACGTTCTTGATGATTGCAACACTATGGCCCAAGTTTGAATCCTACGATTGAACTACTAAAAACCTACTATTGAACTACTAAAAAAAAGTTATGGGCACACTCATATCTTACCTATTTAAAATACTATGGCCCCAGTCGTATTAAAGACATAAGCCACACCTTTCTATTGGCAGTCCTAGAAAACTGTATTTGTGTTTAGGAATATAAAGGGTAATCGATTTTATTTTTTATCCGTGAGGTTTATATAAGGCGCGCTCCTTATACTATTGAAGTAAGCAACACCTCTAAAATTATACTTGGAGATGTAGTTCTGGTGCTGGAAACTTTATGATGGCTTGCAAATGTATTTTCATCCCTGTTATGAAATTTATAATTTAAAAAATGGTATAGATCTAGTAAATTTATAGATGCTTAAAAATATTGAAAATAGACGATCCATATGACTTCTTACAAGACTCACCATTTTTAGCATTTGAAATTCTTTTTTTTCGTATACATACATCTCAGTCGAAATGATCAATTGCATGGTTTTTCAGCGTTTGCTCCATTTTGTATCTTATTTTTTGGACCATGCATTTCAAATTTTCAAAGATCATGAGATCTACGCCATCTTTGGAGCTCCAAAATCATGGGTTTAAGGCAGAAATATTTCCAGTGGTTTAACAAGCGTTGGATAACCAAAACAATTGCACAAAATCAACACTCACCAAAAACTTTTCTAAAGAAAATAGGCACCCCTGATTAGCGGCGGATCAAGTGGGAATGAAATGTTATTCCTCAAATTTGTATGCCTTAATAAGTTGGGGATATTTAGTGGAGTCCTCATGACTACAGGTAATATGTGCTCATGAGGTCATAACTATTCAATCCATGGAAGCAGTGGGAACCATAAAAACGTGGCTTGATGATGGGTCCAAGTGTCAATTATTCTAAGTTGGGTGCCAGCATTGCTTGATGATGGGTCCTAGTTTCAATTATTCTAAATTACGTGCAAGCATTTCTATGGGCTTAGAATCTTATATGGATGAAACAAGATAAAATTTTATCAAACTTTTTTAGAATTTTGAAAAGCTGGGACTTTTTTGAATGTGGCCCTCATCAACTTTATTGAAAACTTAAAAGGAAGGAATCCTAGACACGTGCAATGACTATGACGCAGTGTTTGAAAAATGGAGCCCGTTTGTGAACCGGCCGAAGGACAGGTGTCCAACCGTTCGTCTAATCGATAAACGGGCTGATTCAACCGCGCAGATCTCGGCCAGTTCAAAAAGCATTAAAAATAATAAAAAATTATAATTTTTTTTTAAAAAATATATTTAAAGCATGATTAAACAAAACATATCTAAATTTAAGCTGAAAAATAGTGAAAAAAATGAATTTTAAAAAATCTAATTGTGTCGAGCGCTATTTTTGAATTTTTTTTTAAAAAAAAATGAGGAAATATAAAAATAAGTATTCTGATCAAAAACACTTTTCAATCTTTACCAGAATGATTAAAAAAAAAAAAATTTAAAAACACATTACGGATAAATCCCTTATTTTTGGGAAATAAATATATTTTTTAAATTTTTTTAAATACCTTGCTAGACCATCAAAATCGGATCGGCTAATGCCTTTGGGTTTGACCAGCCGGTTCCAAGTTGAACCGGGCGAGTTTGCGAACGCTGCTGTTTAGTTAAAATGTCAAGAACAATGTTTGTTTTGCTTTTCAAGTTTGGGGTAATTCGAGCTTTGCCAGTAAGAAAGCATGGCATCGTCCAACTGGATTTGCATTCCTAACTAGTGATTGAAAAATCGGTCGGTTGGGATCGCGCGAGTCGTCTTGGACATGATTTCATTGTAGCGAATCTCCCAGTCTTAAATTGCTCGTGTTGGGTAAGGGTATTTCATTTTTATTTTTTTTTAAACTTTTTTTTTCCTGATATGATGGAACAACTTAAAAAAACTTTAAACCCATTTTTTTAACCCCAATTCTTATATATACGCTTTTTCAATGAATAATCGTAAAAATGTAAAATTTGAAAACACACCTCAAAAGATGCTTTTTGAGCCCAACTAATATAGACCATTTATTTTAATGAGATGTTTAGATCTAGGATAGTTTTAAAATCATTATATTAACAATGCTAAAAAAAGAAAAAAAATAATTTTTAATTTGTAAAGGTATCATTATATTGAAATTCACCAAATAGATGGTTATGAGTCATTGTTAGAGGGCTTTCATTTGGACTATATTGTAAGTTGAAATATATTTTTTTGTATTGATTATTGTGCAAAAGTTGGAGATATGCAAATGTATTAAATATGTGTGGTTTCATTATATTACATTGATACAATGACGTAAAATCATTCCCCTATAATATATATAATCTTATTTTCCTTTCTTTCACCCAGAGTTAAGTGTATTGGAGTATTGCATGGTTCTGGGGCCCTTATACCTCAATAAAAAGAACCAATGTTTAAAAATCTATATCAATGACCTAGATCGCCTATTCAGAAAACTAGTCCAATCTGGCAGTCTAGATCGGCAATCCATCTATGTGAATCGCTCATAAAAAAATATAAAAGTAAAGAACAAAAAATTTGAAAATATTTAAAATAAAAATGGGCCTCTTTTTCTAACAGAACAGGCGGTTCCCAATATATGGTAGGAACCGGATAGGTCTTATTAATTAGGCAATTGCCATTGAGATAAAGCATTTTTTAAAACCTTGAAAAGACAAACCCCCTTCTCTCTCTATGGGATCGGGCAGCGAGCGTGTGACTTGAGCCCACAACCTATAATTGAGGTGCGGTGCTCCATGGCACGAGATTGAAATCCATCTCTTCCCCACTAGGGATTGACCGCCATGAGACTTGCCGACAAGCTTTCCTTGAGGTAGATATAGAACTCCATACCACTTGGTAAGTATGGACCCCATCTCTCTCTCTCTTATTGTGTCGTGGCTTCAACGAGAAAATGATATACTCTACATGGTCATCAACCTATTCACATTTTTGTTCTTAATGCAATGGAAATATATAATATGATCCATATGATTTTTAAGCTATCCACAATTTCTTGTTCTTTTGCTATTGTCGACCACCTCAGCCAAGTTCATTTTCTAAATAACAAAATAAATTGAAGAATAAAAACATAGATTGAAGAAGGATATCATGGGTCATTGGGCATTTGATTTTTGAACAAAAATAAATTTGCCCTTTCCCTTTGACATGAATGGACGGACCAGATGAAAATAAAGTATATCTGAACTCTCATCTCCATCCAATTTTGGAAATACAGGCTGATATCAGATCAAGGGCTTATCTTCTAAGGAACGCAAGAAGCTTGAAAATTGCTTACGAGGCTTCATCTTCTAGGCCTGCTTGTAATAGAGAATGACTCAGGTATTTGAACGCTCATGCAATGGTTTGGTTTACTTGCTACACATGTTACTGTTAATGCCTGCAATGTGTCTTTTATAGAAAGTTCTCATTTTGGGTTGTAATTTATTGTTGTAATAATGATTTTTTTAACTTTGTATAAATTTTTTGGGGTATAGTGACTGGAATAATTTTGTAATATTTCTTATTGCAATCCTATTCTTTTCAACGCTGTTTTCGATATCTAATACTTCATATGACAAAATCCAATTTGTTAATCTCCAGAGTAACATGTGGAGGTAGGTGTATCTGGCGATGCAGAGTTCGGAAATGGAGGTTGAATCCAACATTCTGCATTCATATAGTCTTAGACCACCACGACCATGAATATGAAAAGAATTTATCTGCATTAGCACTTATCTATAACATTCATTTGAATTAGTGGCTTCGGGCACTTCAAAAATCCATCCGGATCGATGAATCAACGATCCAGATCGAAAATCAGTCAGATTAAAGTTTAAAAAAAATCCAAAAAGATTATTAAATTTCATTATAAATATTGTTTTTTAAAAATCCAGTAAAAAATCGGAATATTGCATTATTAACTACCATTTTTTTTTATCAATTTACGAGTATTGGGATGTTATTTTCTTATATAAACTTATGTTAACTATTAAATTTACATTATACAAAAAAAAAATCATATAATTATCATTGATAAAGTATATAATCATATAATATATTTTGAATTGTTGTCAAAACATTATAATAATTTTGCACACACAATGTGTGGAAAATACCCCTAATCGAAGCTTTAATATAAGTGGTATAAATTCTTCTGCAAGGCCATCAATAGTGCATAAAGTGTGGCATAAAAAATGCCCCTCAATTTTAAAAAATTTTGGACTTTACTCCAATACGACTCGACAAGTTCTCAAAATATCAACAAGAGTTTTCAAACACTGATTTGAATAATTCAAAAATATCAACAAATATGGCAAAAGAGTTTTCAAACACTGATTGGAATTATTCAAAAATATCAACAAATATGTAAAAAGAAAAAAACAGATTACTAAAATTGTTCTGTTAATGGTCTGCTGAGTAATTGTTTTGATCATTCATTATAAGTATTCGAAAAAAATCAATCGCATCTATATTGTTATGGGTCTCCAAAGTTAAGTATTCGAAAACAATCAATCACATCAATGTTGTTATGGGTCTCCAAATTTATGGATTTGATATGAAAGATTAAAAAACCAGTGTTGGCATGTGTCAGCGGATCGCCAAATACTTTGTACTCAAAATTTTAAATATTTTATGCTCAGAATTTTAAAACAGAGGAGTTACTCAGCGTCCTATCATTATCGTCAAAAGCTTTTTCTAACTAATCGGGGTCAGCTTGCTCAACCTCGGTGCAAAACACACTAATTAGCAATAAAGCCATTTTAGAGCGTTGCTTTCCTTACCCTGCATCCTCCCCCCCTTCCCCTTGTCTTCTCCTGTTCTCTGGCATTTCTCTCTCTTGAGGTAATCCTTATTCTCTTTGTTGTATGTACATGAAAAAGGGAAAATAATAAAAGAATAGTGCATGTACACAAAATAATTACCTTTCCTTGGCTCAACTAAAATTTTTGGATAAAGCTGGTCACAAAAAATTCCCATAAATTATGCTTGTGAACTAGCCTTTACTCATAAACAACAGGGGTTAACCAGAAAAAAAAGAACAAAAAAAAAAAAAGTCAAAACTCAAATAAATCACATGAATGTGGATACATAGAACAGAATTGCCGAAAGGCCAGTGAGCACCTGTATTTTGATCCTGAAAAATGAGGATGTAGATGAAAGCAAAGAAGCAGACGATGCAGTCGAGTCCGGAGCTATCATGATCTCGAATCTACAAGAAGGAGTCGTGGGATCCGACCCTGTAGTCATTGAGAGGTATGCCGATGATACATTGGGGAACTTGCATGCAACCTGCAACTGATTATTCCGTTGGAAATACGAATTAAATGCATACGATATGTTCCCCCTAACATCAAGACTGTTGCACGACGAACCATAGCCAAGGGCAGTACAATCAGCCAAACTACACGCATAGTTTACACTCTCACCTATCTTGGGGTCATCTAAATTAGCTTGGGGAGTTAGAACACACCATTTTTTCGGCAAATACTTCACGCCTTTAGCTCCGATTAACTGCGAGTTCCCAACCCCTAGTTGATACTTGATGGATCCGTCATAGTTGAAGACACCCCAATGTCTCTCAAAGTTCCCTGGATCAATTGACTTTGCATCTTCATCTATGAGGCTAAAGAGGTAAGCATCGATAGCAGAGAGCTGCATCGGTGTGCCCTTACCGCTAGCAATTCGAGTCAGGAAACCTTGATTAAACTTCTGAGCAAACTGGATGGTGGCATGCTCATTCCCATCTGTAGGCCACCCAACCTCCCCTACAATAATTTGCAAAGATCCGAATCCATTCTTCCTCAAGGCCCAAACGAGCGTATCGTAATTGGCATCGAACACATTTGTATATAAGGTTCCGCCATCGTTTAGAGGGGTTGCATCTCCATCGAAGAAGGCGAAATCTACAGGAAATGAGGGGTCGTTATAGAGAGAGATGAATGGATAGATGTTCACAGTGAATGGAGCTCCATTGTCACTTAGGTACTTGGTGAGAGCGACCATGAGGTCATGAATGTCGGAGCGGAAGTCACCGCTTGATGGGAGGTTGTTGGGGGATTGGTAGACGTCAGCATTTAAGGGAACAGTGGGTTTTACACGAGTGCTGAGCCCTGCCTTGATGAGGGCGCTTTGGATGTTTTGGAGGGCGGGGAGGGTCAATTGGAGGAAGCTGCCATTATATGTCGTCAAGAATGGCTCATTGCCCACTGCTACATACCTGTTGACAAAGAATATCCATGAAATTACGTACACTTATGCAACTACATACAAGCGTGGATGCAAGCGCACGCGCTCGCATGGGTGTGTTTGGGGGAGGGGGGGGGAGGGAGAGAGAGAGAGAGGCATAAGCTTACCACTACCACTGCTAATTACATGTGATCTTTTGTTCCCCCAACCAATTTTTTTCCAAATTTCCATGTCCGATGACCGGCTTAAAAGTTTTAAGCCAACACCCGGGCAGTTTTACTGTGGTTCAAAATTTGCAGCATGTTTTGGACTGAAATGGGTTTAGAATGCAATTTTTACGAGTAAGATTTGGACTGCATTTTCAAAAAAGTTTTGTTTCAACCTACACATAGTCACCCACTAATGGCAGGATATCTGTGTCTAACATTTTAGAAACGTAGATACTTTTTAAATTCTTTTCTTAATAATCTCACTACAAAAGCACTTATTGTCACCTAAAATTCCAAACCAAACCCCTAAAGGTTGAGTTTTCTTACTCTTGTCGAACACTGATACATGTATCCATGTCTTTGCAACATAGGTTTCCACGTGCAAATCTGCTGCGAAACATATGTTGTGTATACTTGCCCTTACATCTTCTTCTAATACGTTATCTTATAATTCTAGTCAGTTAAATCTGTTGCCTTATATGTTTGTCTCTTAAATGCTTGATCGTTCTTTGGTTCAAAATTAGCAAATACGGACCAACAAGAATAATCACAACAATGCAATGAAGGTTAGGACTTTGTCTTCTGTCTCACAGAGGAAAGTTCCAGTTCTATTTCACAGGGTTAGTGGGTGTTTAGGGTGTGTTTTAGAGAGAGAGATCCACAATTATCTCACAGGGTTACTTTGGTGTCCCAGGGCAAGGGCCACTGGGTGTCTGGAGTGTGTCCTTTAGAGAGAGATCATAGCGTTAACTAAATCCACATGAAAGACTATTGTTATTATTTTGAGGGTAATTAAGTGGGGATAACGGGCGCTACCCGTTTTTGAATTAGTTAGTAGTTTTTTAATATAGAGTGTGCTAACCCACGACCTCAGCCCCTTTTCCTAAGAAAGACCATTGCATTTACCTAAAATACATCAAACATTAATACTAGTCCTGCCACTTGCATAATTAAGTGAACATTACCATTAATGAGAAAACGAGACCATTCTAAATACAGCACACACACAAAAAGAAAAACCCATGTGGAAACCAGCAAGCAAATTACAACTCTGAGAATATGAAATATTAAAAACATAAAACCATCAATCATTACTGCTGCAACAAACCACGAATTCAAAGCATAATTGCAACAAATAGCATTCATCAAAAGCTTGATCCCGCAAAATTCCTGAAACCTGAGAGAATCTATGAATACGAAGTTGTACACTGCTACACAAGATCATAGGATGCACAATTAAATCAAGTAAAATCTGAGACTCGTAGTATTGAATAGCCAAATCAATCCCAAAGTGCAACAATCGGAAACTAATATAAATTCTAGAAATAGAAAGAGGGAGAACTTAAGAGAGAGAGAGGATAGTGAATGAAACAGACCTAGTGTCTAGTGCCAGATATAGTAATGTCTTTGTGTGAGAGAAGGGTTTCTTTTTTGGGGGTGGGTTAGCTTAAATGAAACCTGATGTAAACAGAGAAAGACAACTCTCCCTAGAGAGAGAGAGGCTTGCCTGGTGTTAGAGAGAGATTGCAACTCCTGATGTGAGAGAGACTTGTCTGGTGTTAGAGAGAGATTGCCTGGTGTTAGAGAGAGTCTTTCCTGGTGTTAGAGAGAGAGAGAGGTGGTGAGTGAAAGTGGCCCCTCATGAGAGAGAGAGAAGGGGGATGGGGGTTATGAAACAGGACTGGTATTAGAGAAGAAAGCAACAAAGGAATAGGCTTAGGACAGTGAGGTAGGCAATGAAAGAAAGTGACCATATGTGTGTTTGTGTGTGTGTGAGAGAGAGTGTTTGCAACTCATCTAGAGAGAGAGAGAGAGAGAGAGAGAGAGAGAGAGATTGCAACCCACCTGATGTCTACACCATCCTTGGACATATAGGAGGACACATTCTTTGAGACCCAATCTTCAGCAGCTTTGACACTAGTAGCTAACTTAGCCAACATGTCATTTGGAATCCCCACCATCACCTGTAACCCTGATTTCCCAAGAGCCTTCATTGTCCCTGCATCTGCATCAAAAAGCTTCACCTTCTGAAACCCATTGTCTCTCAACAAATTCACAACTATCGATGGTTTTAGAGGGTGGGTTGACTGCGTGCCCCAATTAGCTCCAAGCCCATGAACAAAACCCACCAAAAAAAGTAGGAAACAAATCCTAAGAATCACTGGAAAAAACCCCATATTTTCTCTCTAAGGATTCAGCAACAGATGCAAAAGGAACCCTTTCCCCTGATCTATGAATCGTGAAACGGCCCAATGACTCTTAGAAAAGAACTGTTCTTTTCTTCTCTTTATCTATGGAATAAAAAAGAGGCAGTTTTTGGGGATCAAGAGAGAGACAGGAGTTGTATTCTATAAAGATCCCCAATAAAGCTCCATGATTATTGATGTAGACATGGATTGACAGTTGAGCACAGTGTGAAATGGAGCAGAAACCATGAACAGAACTTGCAGTAAAAATCCAAATAGAAGGGCTTCAACAGGGACTCAAAACTCCCCTGTTTATCAGTAAAATCTCTTTCTAGTTATGCTCTGAAACTGCAAGACCCTTCATACTTTTACCTCTTGGACCAAGATAAAAATTTTCATGAGAAAGAAGAGCCCATCAACAATTTCAAAAAGAACTAAAAAGGAAGAAATGAGCAAAGAGCAAAGCCTAAAAATCTTCATACACAGCCGAAATACGAAAAAAAAAAAAAGTACCAAAAGAACATCCAAAAAACTCTTAAAGAGGCAAATAAGCAAAACCCAACAAAAAAATCCTTGAAAAATCACACATAGAGGGGGTTTAAACACCCAAAACCACCTATTTTCTCCTCTGCAATTCCGAGCCCACTGATAATTTCCGTGTGAAAAACTCACTAGCAGTAAAAAGTTCCCACAAAACCCAAGAAAAAGTCGTAAAAATACAGTAAAAAGGATGAAAACCTTGCAAAGCCAGAGGCTGAAGGGGTTCAAGAGCCGGCAAACCTTGCAGAAAACACAAGAAAGGCTGCAGATGCCAGTAAAAAATGGCGAATTTGGGATAAATAAAAGTTGGTTCTTTCAAAAAAACAAATAAAAATAAGAGAAAAAGGTCGTTTTGGGGATAAGGCTTTTGTAGAATTGAAGGCAAGGATCTCTACAAATGGCATCCCCAAAAGCACAGTCTGAACCCATGAAAAAGAAACACAGTGTGAGCTCAGAGACAAACAAGAGAGAGAAACAAGAGAGAGGAGAGAGAAACAGGAGATAGAGGAGAGAGAGGAGAGAATATCAAGAGAGAGAAGTTAGTAAATTAATAATTTTTAAATTTTTTTAAATTTCCAATTCAAAAATGGTTTTGTCCGACGTGGGTATTGTGCTTTTTTACAGTAGCTTGCGTGTCCAGGAGAAAGCTTTAATGGCGTTAGTGATTCCGTCAGCTCAGCAGCTGAGCTCGTCGAGCTAACGCCAACGGTCGGTGATGGGAGCTAAGGTGAGAGAAAGAGAAAGAGAGAGAGAGAAGTGAGTTATTATCCAATGTGTAAGGAAATATTGTTTCATGTGTAAATGCAACAATATAAAAATGCCTTGACAGTCCTTCCCATTGAGGCGGTGGCCACGGCCGGAGGTCTCTTGCTGCAGGAAAGCTGTCAAAATGTACCCAATAACTATTTAGAGAAATGTACCTTATATCTCTTGGGCCATAATCTACCGAATAAATTTTTTATTTTTTATTTTTTATTTTTTATTTGAATTTTATTCTTATTTTAGAGATTAAAAATCCAAAGTGACCATTTATAACTTTTTTCAATATATGTAATCATCTTCAATTTAGTTGTTTTTCTTGAAAAAAATGAAGTCATTTTAGATCTTGGAAATCTATAATCCCTCTTTAGTTCAAATTTTGAATAGCCAAAGCAACATGATAATCTCTATTTTCATGCAATCAAAGGTGAATATGTTTTTCTCCTAAAAATGACTTTAAAACTAATATGATTATAAATATTGAAAAGGGAAAGGAGTCTATACTTCTTCTATAGAAGATCTATGCTTTGCCTACCATCCAACTGTTCAATTTTTATAAAGAGAGTCATTCACTAGATCCGACGTCATAAATTATTTTATTTTTAGTGTTTTTTATACAAATTGTATGAATATGAAATTTGGTATGTGCCATCTTTTCATTGGGGTGCACCTAAAAAATGTTTAAAATAATTTTTCGATAAAATATAATAACCAAAGTACCTCTTGAAATTTTTAGGGGTATTAGGGTCATTTTATTTTATTGGAAATATTTTTTTAATATTTTTCGCTAGTGCGAGTTTAATAGAGGATTGGACGTCCAAATTTAGTGTCAGAATAGTTTATAAAAAACCATTAAAAATAAAATAGTGTAGAGACATGACATTGTGATTAGGGCAATTTTAGCCCTCCATTCAAAATGGACGGTTGGATAAAGAGAAGTATATAAGTTTTATGTTGTAGAGAAACCATAAAAAGCTTGCCCTATTAAAAATTCGAAGTCATTGGTGACTTTTGAAATTTAATATCTTGAGTGGGAGTAAAATTGGAAAAAAAAGACAAACGAAAACATGTTCATAATAATAATAATAGGGGATTTTCTCATAATTATAGTATTTATGGATAAATTTCTCATCTCTCTAATATTTTACTTTTTATATAAAATTAATCCTATCAAAATAGATTTGAAGTAGTTGATAATAAGTAGGGCATTAAATAATTAACAAATGGCTGATAAATCATGTATATTTTGTTATTTTTATTGTATCTTCATATACTTTTGATATCATAAGACTATACATTTGGTACAAGAAGATCAGGCGAAAGTACACATCTTAAGATGTGGGAAAAAAATTAATTACAACTTTAGTGACAAAATTCAATAAATTTTAATTCAAATTTGAGAATGACTAATGGCACATTCTCAATTATTGAATTACATATCTACAATAAATGATATTCTTTTATACCTCTTCTGAAGGATTTTAAGCTCGACAAAATAAGACCTGAAAAACATAATTGCCTAAATAATTGAAAGCTACATGCCTTAATAGATTTTATATAAGGCGTCAAACGTTATACTGTAAAAGTAAGGCGCCTCTCAAAAATCTATCGATAAAGGTCGTTTTGATGCTGAAAAACCTTCCATTGGATCATCCTAACCTCAAAAAAAAAAAAAAAAAATAAATAATAATAATAATAATATAATATATATATACATATATGAAGATGCTGCAAAATGCTTATGGGCGAAAATGAACGGTATTTTCATCCATAGGCTTGGCGCTGTCCCATTTTTTCAGATGGTATGGATTACAGACCGTCACGAACATAGCATGTCCGTGATGAGACTTTTTTCATGCAAACTTGATGCAAAAAATATGCAGGGACCTCCATATATATATATATATATATATATATATATTGAAAAACACTGGGGTTAGCCCACTAGTTCATATAAACATATGACACCAACGGCTTAAATTGAATTTGGGCCGATTTAACGATCACAGATGTTCGGTAGTATCTGAATTTTATTTATTTTTTTACATATCTAAATCACTTGAAATTTTAGACGTGTGTTTTTCTCATCAAGACGCACCTAATAAATATATATATATATAATTATTTATGAAATAAATAACCAAAATACCCCCCAAAATGTTTCGGAGGTATTTTAGTCAATTTATTTCATGTAAAATATTTTTTTGATATTTTTCAAAGATTCACCTATTTTTGATGAATACGCGCCTAAAATTTAAATTTATTTGGATTTGTAGAAAAACAAATAAAATTCAAACACCATTGGACATCTGTGATTGTCAGATCAGCCCAGATTCAATCTGGGCTATTGAGCTCATATGTTTATATGAGCTAGTGGGCTAACCCAAGATTTTTTCATATATATATATATATATATATATATATATATATATAC